AAGGAAGGAAGGTAGGTAGGTAGGTAGGTAGGTAGGCAGTTGGGTAGTTGGGTAGGTAGGTAGGTAGGTAGTTGGTTGGTAGGGTAGGAAGGAAGGTAGGTAGGTAGGTAGGCACAGATAGATAGATAGATAGATAGATAGATAGATAGATAGATAGATAGATAGATAGTTGGGTAGGTAGTAGTTGGGTAGAAAGGAAGGTAGGTAGGTAGGTAGATAACTACACAGACAGACAGATGTGTGTGTGAATTGTTGTAGGAGTGTGTTGTTGTTGTTGTTGTTGTCTTACCGCTCCCTGGTAGAGCTCCACTTCTCTGTCAGTAAAATATGGAAGCTGTTTGAACGGATTCACAGAGATCAGAACTGGACCGATGTAGGTCTGACAGACAGAACAAGGTCAAGGACCAGAACCAAAACCATAACCACTAAAACCAGGAGCAGAATATTCCAAACATTTTCTTTCTCTCAGTTCGTCTCCTTATTTCTGTCAGCAGATTTCTGACTCATAATCTGGGTTAATAAATATAAACACATGATAAAGGTGTGTGAGGATACAAAGATGTAGTCGTCCATGTATCTCTTCTTCAGGTTGTCCGTGATGGCGTCCTCGTTGATCTTGGACAGCAGCACCATGTCGTCCACCCCGCTCACCTTCACATTCTGAGCCTGCCAATGGTATCGCTCCTTGCTACCCTGAGGGGCGGGGCATAAACACACAGACAGTCAGCTGATCACGTCAACATGTTCATCACCTCTGACCTCCGACCTGCTGCCAGGATCCACTTCATACGTTTCATAAATCAAAAGTAAATGACTTACGTAAGTTTGTGTTTGCTTATTAATGTGGTGTCTATGAGTTTATGCACCTTTAAATGAACTTCAATGACGTGTTGATGAAGAGCAGCCGTCTGAACAAGATATTATTAATATACTGAATGTTACAGGAACCAGTTGTGCAGCTTTTATTTGCTTTAAATTGAGTTCAGTCATATTTAACATATTTAAATGACTTTATTAATTTTGATACCAATGTAAACTGTGCAGCTGTATTCTGTAAAAAAACCTAAAATATAATAAATGAGTTCAGTCCTGTGTTTTTAAAATATAAAGCATCACATTCACACAGCTACACAGTATTAATCTGTACTATCGAATACATAATAATGTTCTTCAATAATGAACTGAACACCTGCTTTTATCTGTTCATTTAATCACAGTAGAAATACTGTTACACATTTATAGAAACACTTCTGAAACAAAACTGTAATCAGCATTATATATAAACCAATGACATCATAAATATTACTCTGAATAAGGAGTACTTTTACTTTAGGTACTTAAAGTATATTTGTAAAGATGATGTACTTTTACTTGAGTAACATTTTGAATGCAGGACTCTGCAAACTGAACAGCAGCATCAGTACTATTATCAAGTGTTTGTTCAGCAGAAATTTCACTGCAGCTCTGACAAACACACACACACACACACACACACACACACACACTGTATGATTGGTTGACGCGTCTCTCCCGCCTGAAGAATTCCCAGCATTCCTTCTGTCCTGTAGGATCTTGTTAAGGAGCGGCGACGCCCCGGCGTGTTCGCCTCAACATGTAGCGCTCTGTGTGTGTGTGTGTGTGTGTGTGTTTGTGTGTGTGTGTGTGTGTGTGTACAGTCAGATTAAGTCAGTAGTGAGCTGAACTGTGCTGACGACTGTCCAGGGGCGGCGTACAGGGAGGAAAAGTGGGACTGATTACCGAGGGCCCAGATGGGAGGGGGGCCTTGAAAAGTCTGGAATTAAGTTTGGCTTCATTGGCAGTTTTTTACTTTTAAGTTTTTAGTGGCGTAACTAAATTAAAATAGGCCGAATACATTGGTTGAAAGACTAAATTTTGTATAAAAAAAATAGCGGAAGCTCTCTGAGGCCCTTCTCACCCCTTAAAGGTGCAAAATGGTTCGGTCCACCCTGTCACCAGGATTGAAGTGCTAACACAACTTGAGCAGAGTGAGTGACTGTTGATGCTTACTTTACTGTCATGTATTTCACTGAGAGAGGGAAAACCAGGGTTCAGAAGAGAAAGGAAGACAGAAAGAAAACAAACTGACTTTGTAAATAAATAAAAAGGTGTGTGAGAGAGACGGATCAAGAGAGGAGCGTCAGGGGGCCCACAGAGCCAGCGTGTGCATCGAGCTACGCCCCTGATAAAAACATTCAGATGGTAAAATCTTTTTAAAACTTCATAAAGAAAAACAATCAGCCTCAAGTCATCAAATTATATCAAGTTACGCCTGCAGTAATAATGTAAAAAAAAAACAAAAACAGAATCCAAAACAGGAAATAAAGTCAGGGAGAAAACTGTGAAATCATATAACAAATAATAAAAAGTAAAACAATAAGAAAAGGAAAGTTTGAAAATGAAATAGGAAGCAGTATAATGTTTGGCCCTCGTGGCTTCCTGTACTGAGTCTCAGTAACATACCTGAGGGGCCACAGGTTGATTAACTCAGTATGTAATGATGAGGGTTTCCATGGTAACAGGAAGGAAAAATGACCAATATCTTAATGACCGATTTTTATTTATTTAAATCTTAATTATATAGTTTATTATTTTTTTTTACATAAATGTATTTATATTTTATTTATTATTTTATTTCATTTCATGTACTCCTGCAATTTTTATTTAAATGTAGTTTTTAATGTCTTTATTTATTAAGTTATTTTTTCTTAGATCAATCTTTCTGTTTTTTAAAAACGTTGGTTTATAATTATAATAAATTATTTATAAATTATTATTACAATTATTTTCAAGTTACATTTAATTTTTTATTTTATAAACTTATTTTATAAACTGAAGAAGAAAATTGTGATCAGGAAGTTTTAGTTTAAACAGCAGAGACCTGATCAAGGATCTGTTCCTGCAGGAGTCTCACAGTAAACCTGAACCCTGCAGGACCAAAAGCAGGTCCAGGATATGAACCAGGACCTGAACCAGAACCGGGACCAGGACCAGGTCCAGGTTCGGGTCTCTCCTGTAGTGTAAAGTAATCAAAGTGAACTCACCATCTTGTCTGCTGCCCCTCCTGCTTCACTTCCTGCTTCAGGTAAATGTTAAGAAATCTTGACTGAGTCTCAGGTGGATGCGGATCCAGGTGGACTCGGACTGATCCCGGGTCAGCTCGGTCCGGATCAGTTCGGATCAGATGAGTCGATCAGGCGGATTCTGTTGATCTCAACATTTTCTTGTCACTGTGTTTTCTGTCTGTTTTTCTTCCTTCAGTCTTCAGTCTCTCAACTCTCTGCAGGTGTGGGCAGGTAGAGCCCCGCCTCCTCCTCCTTCTGCCTGCGGAACTCTGGGTAATGAAGTCCTGACACAGAGCGGCTGGAGCTCTGCTGCCCCCAACTGTCCGAAACCGGGAGTACAGTCTGTATGACTGCAGACGGAAACACGTCACAACTTTTCACCTCAAAGTTAGAAATGTTTTTTATTTACGGACAAAAAGTGTTGAAACCAGAAAATATTGAAGATTTTAATGGTTTACATTTTTCATGTATTTATATTTTAAAAGGTTTACTGTAAAAACAACAACAAAAAAAAAAAAACATTATGTAATTATTTTTAAATAATTTGAATCTTAAAAAGATTATTTTTAAATAAAATTCATAACCTACAGATGTCACTTTTTTTAATCTTCAGTGTCTTTTGTTTGTCCTTTCTTATCTAAAACTGTAACTCCTGTGAAGCCACAGTGACCTTTGACGTTTGACAGGAAGTGAAATTCCTCCTGTTGAGGCGCACCTCAGTGCATGCTGGGAGTTCGAGTCAGACACAACTGTAGACAGCTTAAAAGTTCAGTTTGTCAAATTATGATTTTTATATTTCTTCTCTCTCGTCACAAAATAAAACAACTGTTACTGTTCGTCATTTAAAATGTTTTTCGTTTGATTTTTGTCATACTTCCATTAAAAAAGGTTTCAAGTTTCAATTATAGTAATAAAATGTTTGTTCGACCAAAGATAACCTTTCTGTTTTAATTCTTTTAAGGGTCATTAATAATTCTGTAACACCATTATACCATGAAACTGCAATATTTTCTGAGACGGTTATTGTACCATGAAAAAATTATACTGTGCAACCCTACTCAGGTGAGGTCGGGCTTTATAAAAAGGTAGTGACCAGGTGCCAGATCGTCAGCAGAAGCCATCCAAGAGACACAGCGCAGGAAAAATGCAAGTATAGCGAATAAGAGTGGATCTGGGGTCGGCTTTCACTTTCACTGATGACACTGCCGACAAACACTGACTGCACAGTAGACCCTTAAAGACCATCGGCTGATTTTCAGATACTTTGAGTTTCAGGATATTTCATTAGTTTCCTGTAAATGGTATCATTCCCACAGGAAGTTTAGTAAAAAACCTACCACGTGGAAGTCTTTTTAAAGATTATTTTTTGCCTTTAATTTATGACAGTATTGAGTGTGAAGGGAGGAGAGAGGAGAGTGAGGGGATGACACACAGCAGGAGGACTGGAGTCAAACCCATGATCACTGCAGCAGCGACACTGCCTTTATACTTGCTACACCTGCGCTACCCGCTGAACTGCTGGGCGCCACACTGTGAGGAAGTTTTAATATATAAAGTTTTAAATATTCAAACATTTTGCAATCAGCAAATTAAGTTAAAAGGATGCATGTTTTTGACTGTAGTGTCCACCCCCTTGACTGAGAACCTGAGGAAGCTGCAGCTCTGATCTCACATGATTATTATGAACAAGATGTTTTTCTATTTATTTCTTTTTTCTAGTATTTATCATTTGAGTTCCAGGATATTATTCAAAGTTGTATTATAATTACATCCTTTCTTATACACTTTACTGGGCTGATGTTGTTTAAAACATGTTCTCTAAGCTGCTTTCACAAAATCAGATTTTTTTTTTTAACATCCAAAACTCAAAATCCAGTCTGGCTGAACATTTGAACCCATGAAACAGTAAAAACCATCTTTGGTTGAAACTGGTTTGTTTTAATGGACAGAAGACAAACTGGTTTGGGTCAGTGGTTTACAGTTAGTTAAAACACCGGTGTGGTCCTTTAAAGAGTCTGCAGGTGTCCTCCATCAGCTTCAGTTTCCATGGTAACAGACTCTGTCTACCTGTAAAAACTGTCCACCTGCCGAGTGTTCACATTTCAAACTAAAACGGGGCTGCTCTCTGATTGGCTAAGGAGTCCGGCTGAGCAGCCAATCAGGGACATCTGCCCACATATGGAAAAAGAAGAGGAAGAGAGATGAAACCAAACGAGACGAAAAGGAAAAAGAATTCCTCCAAAGAAAAGATGAAACAACAAAAAGATTCAACAAACAGGCGAAGAGAATAAGATGATGAAGAAGAATATGGAATAAGACAATAAAATAAGAATAAGAAGAAGAAGAAGAAGAAGAAGAGGAGGAGGACCAACAGAGGGAGGCTCATCGTCTCTGCAGTCAGTTATAAAACATGAGGATCATCAGTCTGTAGACAGTCTCTGCATTTGTTCAATGCTGCTTTCATACACACACACATACACACACACATACACACACGCACACAGGTCACAGGGTCACATGACGCCACAGGTCACATGATGCCGTTGGTGAGGTACTGGAAGCCGTCGTACAGTTTGGTGGTGAGCGACCTCATGGATCCGTCCACCAGCTGGTCCACCAGCAGCTGCAGCTGCTCCTCCGTCAGGCTCATGTGGAAACGCTCCTTCAGGCCTCGCATGGTGCTGGAGCCGTGGAAACATGGCAGCTGGGAGCCTTAGGGGAGGGTGGCGGAGTCAGTACAGTACAGACACGCAAACACCTGACAGGTGTGTGTGTGAGTGTGTGTGTGTTACCTTGCTGCATGATCTCCACTATCTGCAGCACTCTGTCCATGTGTTTCCTGGCTGCTATCAGACCCTGAAGCATCAACATCTTGTAGTAGTTAAACATGTCGCCATCCGGACCGCCCATCACCTGACACACACACACACACACACACACACACACGACATTATCCAGGATGCCATGAACACATACACCGCAGCCTACAAATTAAAAACATGGACAGTATAAAGCAGCAGACTAAACTGTGAGGGAAGAACATGAACAATTCCAGCGGGGCAAATCCAAAATCCCAATTCCAGCATGTGTACAGCCTCTACTTTCCAGGGCTGGTACCTGCGGTTATTCCACAGGCTAGTTAATAACATGTCGGGCAGGAAATCCAAAGTGTGGGATCATTTTGAGAAGGTGAAGGACGAACCCAAGGTGATATGTAAACTCATCTTCATTGGTCGACTACAAACATGACGTATCATCTGAAACATGGAAGTAGCTACATGCCCATTAGCCCACAGCGTCATTAACAGGCGGCTCGCTCAGTGTGTGATTTATACTTCAGGACTACAACCTCCTGGAGGATCCCTAAATCCTCCTTGTGGGCCACCAGGACTCAGTCAGCGACCAACAGAACCTCCTCAGTAAGCAATTTCAGATCTGATGACTCATGATTAAATATGAGAAATTAACTCACGTCCACAAACTCTGTGGTGAGTTTGAAAGCGGATGTTTCAAACCCGAGGTTTTTGGGAGAGCTGGAGAGGATGAAGCCGAAGTCGATGTGGATGATGTGACCTTCAGCGTCCAATAAGATGTTCCCGTTGTGCCTGACAGGACAGAGTCATGGGTCAAATTAATACTGGGTTAAATCTGTCCCTCAGTAAAGGCCAGTCTCAGAAAGACAAATCGAACTCTGAAAACCTGCTGTGAGGCGATGTCATCATCTCACCTGTCTTTGACCTGCAGCAGGTAACAGATGAGGCTGTACCCGGCGCAGCTCTGGACAAAGTTCCTCTGAGCAGACAGGAAGGCCTCTGTGGTTGGAGCGCCATGTTCCTGCAGAAAGTAGTCCAGTAGTGACAGCTGGCTCTGCTTCTTCACCTGGTGGAGGGATACGGCGTTCATCACGGGCTCAATCATCCCGCTGTCTGCCGACAACACCAGGATCTTATAGGGCTTTATCCAGAGGGGGACTCGCTCCTGCTCCCAGATGGACTGCAGGAGGAGGTGAACAGAGTTTTACATGTCAATACATAATTATATACTGACAGTCTTTAATCTTTTGCTCTCTGAAGAAAAGAAGAGAGGTTTGAAAGAAGAGAAGACAGAAGTGCAGAGGAAACATTTTTCATTGGTGTGTTTTGATCATGTGATGTTGGTGATGTCATAGCGTTACCTTGAGCTGCTCCAGCACCTGGAAGGCGAGCAGCTCTTGTCTCAGGTCGTCTCCGCATTTAACAATAACAGACAGCAGCCTCCAGTTAGGGAGGTGACCGTAAGGAGATCCTTCTCTGATCCTCCTGCAGGGAAACACACAAACAAAAATATACACTACTGTCAGAAATATACAGTCAGAAATATACATTACTATCAGAAATTTATACTTAAGTCAGAAATATACACTACTGTCAGAAATATACAGTCAGAAATATACATTACTATCGGAAAAATATACTTAAGTCAGAATTATACACTACAGTTGGCTATATACAGTCAGAAATATACATTACAGTCAAGAACACTGGTATACACTACAATCAGAAATATACAGTCAGATATACACTACAGTCAGAAATACTGATATGCACTACAGTCAAAAGTATATACTACAGTCAGAAATATAGTCAGAAATGTACCTAACAATCAGAAATACTGTATACTGCAGTTTGAAACATGTTACAAAACATGTATCTCAAATACATATATGTATGTCAGTGTGTGTCTTACATACATATACGTATCTCAAATACATATATGTATATAAGACACACATTGATGTAACCAGTCTGACGTATTTAAACTAAGGATCAGATGACTGTTTGAAGTTTTTTCTAGGGAAACAATGACGTATTCCTAGAAGTTTGTAGGAAAACAAACACCACCTCCACCCTGAGCTTCTCTTACCGGACTTTCTCCTCCCAGGGCTCCTTCAGGGCCACAGCTGACGGGTCCTCAGGGTCCCGTTTAAATGTGGTGGGGGCCTGAGCCAGCTGCTCTGACAGACGCCGCCTGAAACATGCAGAGAGGACAGCGTTACAAACATATTTATAATCTGTTGTTTCATAAGGTGGAGAGTCATTAACGTAACCACAGAGAGAAAACAAAAACCACCTGCTTTTGTTTTCTTGCTGAGTAGCAGAGAGCAACAGAATGACTGTCGTAAACAATAAGAGAGGGCGAGTAATGCAGCTGGTACCTGTGTATCTTTACTGTGGAAAATAAATACTGAAACCATTTAGAATATTCAGAATCGATATGTAACGATACATCGATATTTTTGACCACCCTAGTGTGTGCACAGACCTGATGTCTCCAGCAGCGATGAACACCGGCTCTTTGCTCTCCAGACTGGTGATACTGTCCACTGAGAACTGACTGATGTTATCACAGCTGTTGGTGTGCATCTCTGGGAGCTGCAGAAGGGAACAACACTCAGTTATATCTCACACGTAGATGATCTTACTGTTTGTTGTGGTTATTAGTCATTACTTGACTTTAACATCTTAATTAAAACAGCTATGGCTCTGTCCTCGGCCCACTTTAGTTCTCTGTGTAAATTCTTCCACAACTGCATTTAAACATTATTTTGAAACGTTTTATTTCTCTAGTTCAGTTTTCTAGAGTCTCACCTCCACCTGCAACTCCCCGATGTCGTCAACAGACCAGGCCTCGTCGTCGTTGTCGTAGTTCGGGACCGTGGAGAAGCTGCCAGCTCTCTGATCTGCTGTCATGCCGCATTCCGGCAGGTTCTCCACAGAGCGAGTGCTCCTGATCCGGTTCTCTGGGATCCGGATTGGAACGCTCGAGGTCTCAAAGTTCTCACACTCCAAAACCTCCACGTAGATCAGGTACGGAGCCTGAAGGGACACAGAGGCCAACACATGTCACATGACCAGCTTTATGTATGATGTCATAAGAATCAGGGCTCAACAATAGGGATTGCCCGACTGCAGAGTAATCAAGGTGGTGTCATATCAGTCACGATACGAAAGATCAGATCTTGCCTGATCAGGCAAGTGGAAAATAACCATTAACATTAAACCCTCTGTGTGTGTGTGTGTGTGTGTGTGTAACCTTGTCTTTGGAGTTCAACACGACAGCCTGTGTGTGCGGCACTCGGACCACATGGTGGTCGAAGGCGGCGGTGGGCAACCAGACTCGAGCGGGCAGTTTGTGGTTGAGCAGCGACAGTTCTGAGATCAGCCGCTGAGTCTTCTGCTCTTTGGTGGGCAGCGTGGCCAGACGCTTCCCAATCCCCATCAGAGACTTTATGAACTCCCTCTGAGGAGCCAGACGCACCGGCTGTAAGACAAACAGGCAGAGACAGAGACACTATATGTTAGTGGTTTGAGTCTGCTGTCTCCTCGGGGCGTCTTCTGAGAGAGACACAGGTAACAGATGAAAGTTGATGTTTGTGTGTCAGGTTTGTGCTGATAGCCACAGATCTCACATCATCTTTTTTTAAACCAACATCGTTTTCTATCATTTACTCAAACTGACTTCAGACCCTGCTCATTATCACTTTGTTGTTTACATGTTAGGAGGTAAAATCTCTCTCTGTGATGTCAATAGATTATATTAACCTGCTCAGACAAGCTAACAAACTGAATGTTGTTGGCTGAGCTGCACTCAGTCATCACACCTGTAACAACAACAACAGTCTGATAAACACGGAAAAGTTGATCATGTTAGTGCAGGGCTACCCAGAGCTTTACATCTGTCCTGCAGACGACAGGCCTACACACTTACCCTGATACACTTCATCCTGTTGATGTATCTGTTACATAAACCTGACACGCAAACAGAGAGAATCAGTGAGAGGAAACATGATGACAGGATCATCAGCGTCCTGATTGGTTTACCCACAACATCAAACAGCTGATTGGATCCAACAGAAACACTAAGAATTACTGCGGTGAGTCCAGACGTGCAGCTCCTTCACGTGTTTCTGTTTATTGACACCTGAGCTGAACGTCTGAGACTTCACCTCATAATGAACCACAACCCACAGCCTCCATCACAGACTTCATTTCCCACAATGCACCCTGGAGGGAGAACATGACGCTGGTTAACTTACGGGACCAGTCTGAAACTCCAGACTTTCAGAGCTGGAGCTGGTGTCCTGGGGAGGTCAAAGGTCAGAGGGTTTAGAGAATCACTTTGACTTCTTTTGTTTGTTTTAGTATAAAACTTTAATTTAGTTTAAAATATGCGAGACATGACTGAGTCTATAAACTGCTGTCAGATCAGACTTATGATTCCTATTACAGTAGTTTCTTTTATCTTAACATGTTTCTATTAGGCTTGGGCGGTATCACAGCATGATGACAGGCTCCCCTGTCGCCGATTCAACACCATCAATCAGCTAAAAAAAGCCGACAAGGGCTGACGAGGACGAACGGTGCAGGACACACCAGGGCGACTAGGGTGACAGATGCTCATCAAAGGCCGAACATTGACAGATGGCCGACAGTTGGCTTGGTGTGTCAGGGTCTTTACTCTGCCTCTGATTGGCGTACCCTGATATTCTTACTCTAACCCTTCCCAATCTCGCTCCTCTTGTCTAAACCTAACCAATCCAACCAACGAATGCACCTAGCCACTCAGAGGGGGAGCAGGGCAAATCCTCCGTTACCTCATCCTGGCTGCTCTCCACCTTCGGGTTACTGGCCGTCCTCTTCAGGTTGCTGCTCAGACTGATGCTGACTGTAGCGTCAGATTTGGAGCGCTGATGTGTGCGTTTGGAGGGCGACAGGCCGTGCTCTCCTCCCAGGGGCCCGGGGCCGGTGGCGGGGGACGCCAGGGGACAGAAAGGCGTCAGAGTCAGAGGGTCCCTGCGAGCTCGAGGACCCGCAGGTTTGAGTTCGTCAGACAGGATGAGTTTCCTCAGCTTGGTCCCTCGTGAGTGACGCTGGGTGGAGATGTGCATGTCGGAGGAGTACGCTCCCAGCAGCCAGGCACACTGCAGGCTGAAAGAGATGCTCTGTCTGCAGCGGTGCACCTGAACACAACACAAAGGAGTTAAAGGTCATGCTATCATATATCAACAGGACAAAACTTCATTTATAAAAAACGTCTCAGAACAGGAGTTAGGGGGAAACTAAAACAACAGCAGGTGAGTTTTCTGTTTGGGAATTTATTCAAACTAATGTTTTCCATGTTAATCATCTCGTAACCTCTAAGACTGATCATCTAACACTGACAAAATACGACTGGATGCTATAGAACATCCTGGTATTTCTGGCATTCTGCATCTGACATACTAAATCTTGTTCTGGCATACTAAACAGCGTGGAATCATGGGTACTGGAATGCACAGTATGGCTTTCAAAGCTTTTACTGAGGGCTACAGAAGATAAATGCTAAGCTGACTGCTATGCTGCAGCCACAGGGTGTCTGACGCTGTGTCACTAGATGGATGCTACAGCGCTCAGGGTGGTTGCCAAGGAGATCACATTGGTTACTAGCACTGGTTTCCAAAAAAGCGGTTAAGAGGTTGCTATGACTTTATGGGCAGTTTTAGTAGGGAGTTGTTAAGGTGTTTGGGTGGATACTGTGACCACAGGTGGTTGTATTTAGCTGAACTCCCTCTATGAACACTGAATAAAGTCCCCTGATGAAGACCATCAGAGGTGGCTGAAAGTTTCAGAAATAGCAAGTGGACACTGAGTAGAGACTTTTGGTCAAACTTCTAAAGAATGAACTTTCACATCAATGATTGTAGAGCAGTCTGACTGAAGCAGACTCAAAGCTGGACGCAGGTTAGGCAACGTGTTGTTAGACGCCACCCCCTGCTCAGACCCTACGCACCTCATATGGCAGTTAGGCCCCGCCCCGTTCCTGACTACACTCACCACATATGGCTTGATGGCGTCCCCAACGTCCTCATCCATGTGGATGTACATGTTGAGAAGCTGCGGTAGGAAAAAGTCCACCTCCTCATGAGGGAAGCTGAAGAGCCGGTTCCCAATGTACGCCTGGACGCCTGGCTCCTTCGAGTTGTGCAGGTAGGAGATCGCCATAGAAACGTCAAACAGCTTGGACTCAAACAGGCGGAGCAGCCATGACTGTTTGGAAGGATTGTGCCTCTGCCGCCGCCGGGCGCTCTTCACCGAGCCGGGGGCCAGGCCATCAGAGTCGTCCAACTCCTCGCGAATCTTCAGTGGTTTCACCACAACGCTCAGAGCGCCGCAGGGGGAGGCGTGCGGCTCCCGGTCCGACCCCGCCCCATTCTGCAGGCCGGCGGGGACATCAGTGTCTACCTGTTTCAGCTTCACCTTCTGCAGCACCTCCTGACACGCCCGGTGGGCCACCTCAGCATCAATGACTAGGCTGAGTTCCCCCACGCCCTCACTGATCACACCCAGAGGGGGAGTGACGGCCTGGGGAGGGCCACAGGAGGACGAGGGGGTGGAGGGGAGGGACAGGGAGGGGGAGGACGAGATGGAAGGGGAGGGGCTGTTCTGATCAGAGGGGGCGGGGGAAAGCTCCGGCTCTGTGTCCTCCATCATGGCTGCTGGGAAGCTCCACCCTCCTCCACTGAAACAGACACAGAAAAAAGATCAAAGGTCAGCAGGGGTTATCAGAGGTCACCTATGATTGAAGGCCATCAGAGGTCAAAGTTCTCTCTGCTCAGCAACACCTTCGTTGTCTGAATGTTTATCTTACAATAGATTTTTAGTGGGTCAGCATGATTACCACGCCAGCGTGCGACTGTGGGGCGCTGAGTAAGCGGAGTCTGCAGACCATTTAAAAGGGCATCTCAGCCGGCGCACACCCTGAGTGCACTGCTCAATTCATGCAGGGAAAGCTGCAGCTGCCTCCCTCGACCACAGGGCTGATACAAACACATCAATTGTTCAATTTTGTGATGACAGTCTTGGCCCTAAGTGGCAGAGTAGAACACATAATGTTATTACAGCTGAATGAGAGCAGCTGGATATTGATTGCTGGTATGACTTTTTATCTGTGGTGTTGTTATCTCGCCACTGATTAATAACACAATAAACCTTGACTGCTCTGACAGATTGTCACGGTGGCACCTCCTTCTGACGGCAAATGTTTCCCACTCCATGAGTGAGTCATGCTCCTCACTCACTGTTCGTCATCACTTCTTATCAGATTGTACCCCGCCTGTTGGAAAAGTAGCGCACCCAGTTATACAGCTGGGGACTCTACTCTCTTCTGATTGGCTCACAGACCTGATGGTCCCCAGAGGTGAGGTCCACAGGTGGACCCTTCTTAGGACACCTGGTGTCTCCCAATTTACTGTGATGCTTCATGTGACAATCCAAAAGCATAATGACGTCACATGACAACAGCTGAGCCGTCCACTGATGGAAACCCTGAGATGTGTTTACATGCTCAGAAAAAGTAAGTAAAAGCCAGTGCTTCTGCTTATAAATGTAGTCCTGACATACACAGAGTGTGTGTGTGTGTGTGCGTGCGGCTGTAATCCCACTGAGCAGATTACAGATTACAGAGAGGAGGAGGGGAGATGTGCTGAGTGTTTGATGTTTAATCATAGATGTAAAGCAGATCAGAGGAGATTCACTCACTCACAGTGGTTAACCAATGACTATTTTCATCACTTCATTAATTAACCTGTTAATAATTTATCTGATCAAATGTCCTCTTCACTTTAAAACACAAAGATATAAAAGAGATAATCTGACACCAGGATGATTTTATCTTACAAAATGACTGAAATCCATCAGAATATTTTCCAGTTCATGTTCTGTTGAGTTTTCTTTAGTTAACGAGACTCTGGGTGTTTTAAAACCACGACTCACTGCAGCATTTAAACAGTCAACACAGCAACATTTGAACAGTCTGAAACATCTGACACACAACATCTGAAAAATAAGAAACGTTTTTTAACATTTAAGATTCTACATAGTGTTTACATTTTGGCTGATACAGGTATTTATCTTTGAGATTACAGACTCAAGTAATGATATATCAGTCATTATTAATTTGCTTTACACAACCTAACACCACATAATAAACATTTTGATAAATGTGTTTTGCTTTTAACAGTTAATAAGATGGAGCTGGTGAGACATTTTACAGTAAAACCTAACTTTATAATGAAGAAACTGTTTCTTAATCTCCCATCATCAGTGTGTTGACATAAACACAGATATGATAAATATGTGCAATGAGCTAATATCAGGCAACATGTCAGCCAAGCTCATTTATTGATCGGGCTCTACTGTTAAAGTAGAGCTGAAATGATTAGTCAATTAATAAATCAGTAAACTGACAAAAAAGGAATCTGCCAATATTTTTATAAGCAACTTATCAACTCTTTTTTAGTCAGTTCACTGGTGTCAGTTTCTCCAGATTTTGTTAGTCTGTTTATACCAACAAAGAGAGAATTTCAAACTTAAGCCTGAAGGTGATGTTGCTGCTGAGGCTTCACATTAACTTAAGATAAAGTTATAACAGAATGACGACTGTGGATTTTGTCCTCTGTGTCTGGCTGTATATTAAACTGATAGGAGAAGGAACCTGGTCGCAGCCACTTTGGACACCAGGAACACGTGTGACTGTGGATTTAATACAGATTTTAGGAATGTGGTCCCATAATAAATAAACATCTGGAACCAACAGAATGAAACTATTATCTGATTTTAACAGATTTGTGTCCTCAGTCCTGTAAAATATGAAGTTTAGTTTGTGCTGAAACATCAGAGTCACTCAACAATAAACTGAACATTATCACTGTCATTTTACACAGCTGCGGTGAAATGTGAAATGTACTAAGTACTGAGCATGTACTCAAGTACTACACAACTTGAGGAACTTCTGCTTTACTTGAGTATTTCCATTCTGTCGTACTTTGCACTTTACTACATCTCAAAGTGAAATATTGTACTATTTACTGCACTACATTTATCTGACATCTCTAATTATGTTGCAGTTTCTGGTTAATAATTCAAAGTATAATCAATAATGCATGAGGTATTAGGGATTACACTACAAAGCAGTATATAACGTGGTTAAAATTAGCTCAACGTCCACCAGCTGCAACATTCAAGTGATGAGTACATTAATGCATTAATAATCGTAATAAAATAATATCGTATATATTATTCTGAAATGGGTCATTGTGCATAACGAGTACTTTTATTTTTGGTACTTTAAGTTCATGCAGATGCTAATACTTTGACATCTAAGTTAGGTTCACATGCAGGACTTTGCATAGTATTTCTACGCTGTAGTGCTGCTACTTTTTGCATTAAAACATCCGAGTACTTCTTTCTTTATTGAGTTAATAATTTGAACACTGTCTGTATTTCAAACAGTAAACAAATGTTTACAGTAACACTTGAACACTTGATGAATCCTCTTGTTAACAAGCGCACCAAGAGTCAGCTGATATTAGCCTAGCTTAGCACAGAGCTAACACAGATAGATATCAAAACTTGAAAAGCTTCTTATTTAAAGCTAAACAGTAAACACGCTGTTGTGTTAGCATTAGCTCAGATTCTCGGTGTAAAGTTCAGTTATAGACAAGCTGTTAGCTTAGCTTACTGTGGAGGAACTCGGCTGAGACGCAGTTACCGTTAACCAGCTAACCAGACGTTAGCATCGTCCTGTAGCTGGTTAGTTTAGAGATTTAACTAAAGCTAACTAGCCACAAGCTAACCGAACCCCCTGTCCACTCCGCAGTGTTAGCCTGTCCGGTTGATGTTAGCATTAGCCGGCAAATATCAGGCCAACTGTTGCTAACTCCGCTCAGATTGTTTATAAAGCTGTGTGCTAAGCTAACATTAGCTCCGTCATAGTCACAGGTGAGCTCCTCGAGCTCTGTGACGTGTCTGTGTGTGCACAGGTGAGTCAGCCTTACCGGGTGACAGTTTAGTGGTTTAGCAGTGATGTTTTATTTCCAGTTTGTCTCCTCCATTGATCCGCTCTGGTCGTCATGTCAACACCAGGGGGCGCTGCTCTTCTTCTTCTGCTGCTGCTACTGCTGTTGTTCCCTGACTGTTTCCGGTGCTGTGCTTCCGCCTGCTGGACTGAGATGGTTTCAAATCGACTGCCATGTACCACAGATAATACAGTTTGTACTGCGAATATTATATTATATTATATTATATTATATTATATTATATTATATTATATTATATTATATTATCACAATTGTCTTGTATTACTGTATAGTGCGTGTGTATGTAACACTGTACATAACACTACATAATAATAATAATAATAATAATAATAATAATAATAACAATAACTTCTCTATGTATCTGCAATTGTTTCTGCCTTTGTGCTGCTGCAGCTACACTTGAATATCCACTTAAGGGATCAATAAAGGTTGATCATCTTTTCTTAGATTTTACTTATTACACTAAAATATGTTTTTATGTCACATCTTTAATTTTTAATGAATTATTTTGTTTTTTTTTATGCAATGTAATACTAAAAAATAGTTTAAAAAAATGTGAATTTAATTTCACTTCTTAACCAGCTAAGGCAGGAAATAAAGCAAACATGTATCACAGGTTAAATTAGAGGATTCCAGTGGGAAAGTAACAACGTTGCATCTAAGGCATGTAGAAAAGGAACATGTTTGTAGGAATGAATTTATATTTTTATATATATGTAAATAAACCAGACAACTTTTTAAAAAAAATCTCTAGCACTCTGTGAATTTTTGGATCTAATTGAAGTTTGAAGTAGAAATCAGCCTCATAGTATGCCTGTGTCAGAGCAGTGTCTACATGTCCTCTGTGCATCCAGAACTATTTAACCTCTCTACAGAACATGGTCTCTCATTTATACACAGTAAAAAAAAAAGTGTTGATTCAGCAGAAATAAATAAAAACCTGTCACCTGAATTTTGTGTTTTCCTTTATACAAATAAACATTTCCACCATAAATTGACAGAAAAAATCACCAGAATGCAGGAAATTAAGTGTTTAATGCACAAAATTTCACCTAAGTATTAATACGTTTACCTTATTGACACGCTTTTATAACAATTTAAATTCAGATCAGTTTTTCCTCTTTAATAATTTCAGGAAAAAGTTAAAGGGTTAAAAAAAAACAAGAGTTTCAGCTGAAATATTTTTAATATTACATAGACTTGTGTATATAATTTTTAAAAAATCATTTTTCATTAGGAGTAATGCATCCATGACATATGATTAATTGCATGGTGGATTAATTATTTTATAGTAAATTAATTAGGTGCTGATGAGGCATTGAAGCTGAATATGGAAAAAACTGCAAAAACTTAAAATATGGGAAACTGTGCATGTTTAACACAAGGACCACTTACTGGCTTTTTGTGGGGCTTTCAGTTTCATCTCATTGTCTTCATCAGTGAATCAGAGTTCTCGGTGGTTTGACGGATAAACTCCATTAAATGCATCTTCTCATTTTCAAAAGGTTCTTTAGACAGAATAAATAAAATAAAATACAAGAAAAGAAAAGAAAAGAAAAGAAAAGACAGAATAAAGAAATAGTGGAAAATTTACACCAAAATTAAATGAAAAAACAAAACAAAAACATCATCAGTTGTTCAGTAGTAAATTAAAATTTTGATGTTTGTTGACTGTTTTTGTATTTCTCAAATTCTAAGATACATATATACATAAATAAACAAATAAATTAATAAATATTTGTTATATTTTCAGATGTACCACTCAATATTAAATCGTGACTATATAATTTATTATTTCAATCTGCATATGAAAGTATGAGACAGACGACTGTTCAAAGAGAACTTTATTAAACCATCATGAGTTAACAGTGAGCAGCAGGGGGCGCTGCAGCGGACAGGAACATGACTGAGGTCACAGCAGGTCAGTTACAGTCAAACTGGTCGGTTCATGGATTAACTGTAAATATATGAGTATACATACATATATATGTATATGGATCATTACCAACTGACAGGAAACACCCTGAGTCTCAGGCTGATAACTGATTGGTCCGTTTGTTATCTCGTCACGCTCACTTCACCTGTGTCACCTGTATCCATAGAAACTTCACATACAGCAGGAGGAAAGTTGGCAAGCCACAACTTTAGTAATATGACACTGAATGAATGATAACAGGATGACACTACAGAGTCAAGAATATTATGACACTATATTACTGATATTAATATCACACTAAAGGTTTGGGGTTTGATAAATGAGGGGGAACTGTTGTTATAGTTGAAATTAACATAATAATTAAAGATTCTCAGCTTTTTTTGGAGTCTGGAGCTGAAAAACATGTCTGAGCCTCATGATGAAGGGAACTCATCAAATTAAGTCTAAACTAGGTTTATGTTTAACGACACGACGGTCACTCTGCAGTGGGCTGATTATGATTATTTGGTACTTTAACTTTGCAGCAGTTAAAGCACATGAATCAGTTCATGAGTCTATAGAGAGACTCAAAATTTGCCATCGCTAATGAGGTTCTGCAAAATTAAGAGGAGAAGGCATCAGGTTGTAGACGTATGCATGTGATTTCTCGTCAGAGCCACAGGGGGTCACTGGAGAGGAGCTGAAGAGACGCAGGATGTCGACTCGTGTTTTATGTGTTTTTTTTTTTAATCAAATTTGTGTTTAATTGTGTGCAGTAGTGTCCTGTAGTTTATATTTGACTAGTTAATAACAGAGTACTAATCATCTATAAAGCACTTCAACCACAAAGACAGTTTGATTGTGTAATATTGTCTGAATATGAAATTAAATACAGAAACATCATTTTCTGACTTCGTCCTTTAGAAGTGATTAAATGTGATTTCTGAGGCTGCATTGATTGATCGGTCTAGAATGATGACTGTACTTCAGATGTTGACTGAGAGTATTTACATTTCCCCTCTTGATGATCCTACAGCCAGATGTCGGACGTACAGTCTCCTCCGGGATATCGAACCTCATGGGCGAGAACTGGACCGTCGGGTTCTTTACCGAAATCCACCAGGAAGTTTTCATTCAGGGTCAGACCTCCATTAGCGGTGTCCACATCGATCTGCATAATCACCGAGCCCTCTCTGACACACAGACACAAAGAATGTACATTCAGACAGTTTTATTCAATACAGGCCAAAAGTGTAGACGACCCTGTGACCTTTTGTTCTGGGTCACAGGTCAAAGGTCACAGGGCTGTGACCTTTGACCTGTGCGTTTTGGCCTGGGTCTGGATGAACCTGAGCAGTGTCATGCATGAATGTACTTAAAGAACATGTTCACATGGTTTTAGTGAAAGGTGAACTGAACATATCCGTTTCCACTTATGGACGTGAATTAATGAACACACACTGTGTTTTATGGCACATGAAGTCTGAACCAAATCTGTTCCTTTACCCAACCACGGAGAGGACGCTACGCATTTTAACACGAGGTAAATACTATTCAACACAACACGTAGTTACTGTAACTGGGAATTCAGACAACGCAGCTGCTGGTGTTTCAGCAACAGTGTGACCATGTTAAAGATGAGGGAGGCAGTTTAATTTTGGCATCACTGGCAGGTTGCGTCTGAAGTTGCTAAGCAACCTTAACAAGCACCATATAGCCTGTTTACCTGAAATCCTGAGTGCAGAGCTGATCTTCTTCTAGGAGCTGTTTATAAGTGTGTAGGCCTATCGTCTGTGGGACAGATGTAAAGCTCTGGGTAGCCCTGCACTAACATGATCAACTTTTCCGTGTTTATCAGACTGAATATTTACAGAAGAAGGGAAAGATATCTGTCAGCTGTGATTGGTTTGTAACGTGACTCCTGTCTGACGGCTGAGTGTGGCCACTTCCTGTGTCTGTCCCACATGGTCCAGTCATATAGGCTCTGATTTATTTTGAAAAGGCGCAGCTAATAGAGTTTCACCGCTGTTGTTTTTTCCCCCAACTAAGCAACCGATGAAATCTTGCCAACTAATGACCTGTCTGGTCAACTAAGGTTTGGTCGACTATTAGGAGGCAGCCCTACGATCAAATTAGCAGAACGCTAGCTGTGCTGGCTGCCGTAAGTATCCAGTGTGGCTGCTTTATGGGCCCAGTGATATCGAATCATCATCCAGAGAATTTCATAACACAGAAAAAGAGACGTTTCGGCTCCATGCGCCACTGAGCAACTTGAAATGAACGGGGTGTGTGCACGTCCCTTAAAATGCTGAAAGCCTGATTCAGTGGTGGAGAATCCTGAGAGTAACTTGCACAACACTGCCTGTTTCAACATGATTTTTATTTTATTTTTTAGATATTTTTATGGCCGTTTTTGCCTTTAATTGACAGCTAAGCGTGAAGGGGGGGAGAGAGAGAGGGAATGACATGCAGCAAAGGGCCACAGGCTGGAGTCAAACCCGGGCCGCTGCGGCAACAGCCTTGTACATGGGGTGCCTCTCTATCCACTAAGCCACCGATGCCCCCTGTTTCAACATGGTTATGTTCATCTGTCCACATACTTTTGGCCATATAGTGTACTTTGACTTTGACCAAGTGACATGTAGTGTATTTGTATTGTCAGCAGCAGCAGCGGTACTGTGAGAGCTCACTTGATCATGTCGGGGTAGAACTGTTTGTCCCAGCCGCTGTAGAGAGACGTCGTCACGTAAAGTCTCCGACCGTCTAAACTCAGCTGCAGCATCTGAGGACCTCCAGGGACACGCTTCCCCTGAGAGACAGACAGGTGGACAGAGACAGATCAATGACGAATCAGAAAGATCAAGAAATAAATAAAAATAAACTCAAGCAGAGGAGAGACGAAAGGATGCTGGATAGACAGACGAGTCCATCCTGTCCTGCCTCCAGTCTCACTGCGTCCTGTCTGTTTTACCTTGATGAAGCGGGGGTGGGGCTGCGGCTGTTTCTCGGGATCTTCAAGGACTTTAACTGGACCATCACTGACGATACATCCTCCCAGAAACACCTGGAACAAACAGAAAGGTTAGCTGTCTCACTCTGAGCTGTCACCAAGGCCCAGCTGTTCAAATAATTCAATTTGGATCAGAATGATGAAGACCTGGAAATCCCATGGAATCCATTTTACTTTTGCATTGCTTTTTCTAAGCAACACTGGATCGAATCACTCTGATCCAGATACAAACTTTTCAAGATTACGGAAGATCTGCTCACAACTGAAATAGTAGTGAGTGTTTACCAATCCATAAACCGTAACCTCCATCTGCTCGTTACACTTCCCTCCAAAATAAAAGACATGCAGTCTTGTTTAGATTTTGCTAACAACCATATAGAACACACCCTGAGAGAAAACAGATCCCTCCAAACCACCGTGGAGGTGGTTTATAAAAGAAACCACACTGGACATTCACACACAGAGTTTTGCACGACACCCTAATATTTCCTGATTTACTGGAAAACCACACATCTGACCCAGCCCAGAAGCTCTGCTCAAAACCTTCATACACTCACAGCTCAAAATTCCCTCTGATACTGCAAACAACAAAACCTTCCAATGCGTTCACAGTTGGTACCCACACTGATAAAGACCCCCGACCCATCACTGCTAAACTGGAACACTACAAACACAAGGAACTCATAAAAACAAAGCAAGAGAAGGAAATTCATAGAGCTGTCACCTTCTGGTTGGTTGGTCCGTCTCATTGGCACTGCAGCGATGCTCTGCCACATTTTTTCTTCAAGTGAGGATCAGAATATATGCAGTTCACATAATCTGGTCGGAATTAATATATCTTTTTAAACGCTTGAAGATCCACTTCAAGACAATAAAAACTAAAGTGATGGTCAAAGTTGTCACAGTGAAATTTAAGGTGTGCTGATGGATTCACGTCATCAACTCATGCAATGAGTAACATTACAAGTTAACGTTCCACCTTAAAAGTCACAGGCAGTCGGCCCAGTGAATGAAGTTATTTTTTCTCAGACTCCAGCTGCTGTGAGAGGCAGCAACACATCCTTTCATTTTATAGTTACAGTTTACTAATAAAACTCTCCACAGTATGAACAGTGATTACATGAGCCTCAAAACCAGACACAACTCAGCCCTGAGCAGAGTGACCGTCCTCTAATGACCAATCAGACTGCAGTGTTCACAGCTCCACCTTTTAGTACCAAATCTGTGTGCTAGGTACCCCAACAGAGGGGGGACCAAACATGGGGAAGATACAGAACGGTTCTATTGGTACCATCCACAACTTTTCACAGAGGAAACAGAAAAAATGTGTTACGAACTTTTTCCCCCTTCGACCACTGGATTGGTTGAAGAGTAGGCAGAATTTTAGTTAACCAAGTGTTGGACAAACTGTACTGTACTGCACCTCTACAACCACACCAGGGCTATACTGAACAGAACAATATAAAGACTCTCTGACTGACCCTCCTTCAGAAACAACACAGAACTCTATTAGAACCCTGCAAACACACAATCGAACCAACACCCCATGTTATCCTATGAACAGGCTCCGCTGATGATATTTCTTTGTGTTTTGTCTCCTGGTGTGACTCTCTGTTACTAGTTTGCTTGTTTTGTCTCCTTGTTTTCTGTATCTCCACGTCCAATAATACCCACTCAAATACCTACCATAATCACACACACACACACACATCCAAAGACATACAACACACACTCACCATGCAGACAAACTGCATCTAATCCCCACATACCCGGAAGAATACCTAATAACATTGTATTTCTCTTATTTCTGTTTTCTATGCAACCGTAACTTATTTTCTGTAATCTCTGTGGCATTCGCTTACAGGCGAAAGAATAAAAGTCATAAATCATCCATTTAAATTGAGAGCAGACATATGCGTACTGCAAGATAATCATCTAAACAATCCAGAACAACAACAGGCACACAATTTAATCTAGTATATTCAGCTACCTACAATGATAACCAAAGAGATGTCTCCATTCTGATCCATAAAAAATTCACTCACTCACAATAACTCAGTAATAGACCCAAAAGGAAGATACGCTATAATCAGTGCCTCAGTCAACAACAAACCATTTACAATTGCAAACCTCTGTGGCTCCAACAATAATGATCCTAATGAAAGCACCAAAACTAGCCCAATCATAATAAGTGGCCATGCACCTGTAAAGGCTCTGACACAGCAAGGCAATGGTTGGCTGTTGGTCAATAGGCCCGTTTCCACCGCAGGAACTTCGGGGTAATTTCACGGAGCCGGGACCATTGGTGCGTGTCTCCACCGCAGGAACCACCCCTGAAGGATGGAGTTCCGGAACTTTTACAGGGGCTAAACAAGTCCCTGCCTCGGAGTAGGTACTCAGAACGGCCCGAAAAACTCCTGGCTGGGGCTTGGGGTTTACTTGGTGCTGATTGGATATACTCAAGGCGAGATGTGACGTCAACAGAAAGCGACAAAATAGCCGGCATTTTTAAAACTCAGCAGACGAGGAGCCGCGTCGCCCCGGTCAAAATGGTCGCGCAATGATTACATCACATCCAGAGCCCGGTAACTTTACAGGAACCTTCCTCCTACTCCGCCCTCTCAGTGGAGACACAGCGGTTGAGAGGGCCAAGCGAGAGGACGTTCTTGTAAAGTTCCTGCCCCCCAAATAGTACCAGGAACTACTTCAGCGGAAACGGGCCTAATGTTGGGCCACTGATGAGCATCTGATGCCCTTGCTGGTGTGGCAACTAGCTGAATCAGTGTTGGCAATGAAATCATTTTGATTGGCAGTTCAGCTCAGCACATGAGAAGAGACATGGAAGTGAGGAAAGTAAACAAAGATCTAAAGTCAAGGTAAGATTGTTTTACTTAGCCACTGAGTTCTTTAGCAGAAACATTTGCTGATGGTTCACCATTGATAATTCCACTCTGCATTCCTGCCCACACATCTGCAACCTCTGAGTTACTTTCAACAACCTCTCCTTTGAAAAACATGTCAATCAAATCACCAGTATTGCCTGCTACCACGATCACATCACCCCTGTTCTTCAGAACCTCCACTGGCTCCCTGTCCCACAATGCATCCAGTTCAAAGCCCTGCTCCTCACTTACAAAGCCCTCCATAACCAGGCCCCCTTCTACCTCACTGACCTGCTCCACCATCACACTCCTTCCTGCAGCCGCCACTCCGCCACTACTCAGGACCAAGCTCTGGACCTGGGGCAACAGAGCCTTCTCCATAGCGACCGGAACTCTCCGCCAAAAACACATTCGAGACTGCACCGTCCTCTCCTGATTCAAATCACTCATCAAAACTCATCTTTTCAAAATGGCTTTTAATGTGTTCTATTTCATGATTGTTTTCAACTAATGGAAAGTGTCATTGAGTACCATGAAAAGCCTTCTATAAATAAAATTCATTATTATTGTTATTATTATTGTGTTGTCTTTCACTGATGCAGACAACCGCTGTCTGCTGGTGTGGAGAGTTATTTCCTCTCATGCAGGATTAGAACGTACGTTGGTTGGCCATTGGCTGTAGTCCTTATTGTGTTCATGTGCAACCTTTTGGCTGAGGCACTGCGACATCAGGCGATGCAGCAGAGGGCCTTCATCGCTGCTAGTTCTCTGAAGTCAGTTTAGTGTGTCTGGGCCCTAACACTCACCCTGAAGCCTGATTCATAGGGTACAGCTTGTACCACAAGGGGCTTTAATGTTGCTACCTCAAGTTTCTCAGTTTGATAGCTTAATCAGGGAGGTATAGTGCCCACTTCCTGTTTGTAAATTCTTGTAATACATTCAAACAGTGCACTAAAATATGTTTCTGAAGACATCTTAGATGAGAAATGGGCAATACAGTATCAGATACTTGGTTAATATTTAATCAGTGCTGCCTTGTTTTATTGTTTGACCTGAGTTTGGATTGAGATTGAGAGAGAGGAGCGGGCCTCCCTCTTGAACATTTACAATCTTTGCATTCGTGGTGGCGGACAAACGAAAAAAGCAGAGGCACAATATTTCATTGTCATTGTTTTGAAAAAAAGGAGGAGGGAGATCTGGGTCTTGGTAAGATGGAGGAAAGCTTACATAGTTCATGTACACATACTATCCACATTGTTTAGATATGGAGCTGGCTGAAAATCGCAAAGTGTCCCTTTAAGAGGGAGTCTAATGTCCTCTTTATCTACTTTATCCCTGAAATGGCTGAACAAATCCAGGGCAAAATATAAATGAAAGTATATTTATTTGACCAGTTTAAAACTTTTATTACATTTTGTTCCTGAAATCCACCCCGGACACAGCCCTCTGCTGGGATCAAGATAATCTCATATATTTTTAAATCAAAGGTATGCCACTGCTACTAAAATGTTTTGAACAACACATACTTTAGGTTTGATCCAGATCAGAACCAAGACTGATTAATGTGATCACATCTGATTAAATTTTTTTTAACAACCAGTTTCCAAGATCTGATAAAATCCAGTATCTGAAATATGATCAGATTACTTCGGAACAACTGGGCCCTGAAATAACATTCATACCTGGCCGACCAGTCTTGGGTTCCTCCTGTCTGTGATGTCATACTGTCTGATGTCACCGTGGAGCCAATTACTGAAGTAGAGATAACGGTCATCCAATGAGATCAAGATGTCTGTGATCAAACCTGCACAGAGAGACAGGAAACCAGTCAGAACGAAAAGATATCAGACCACATACCAGTAAGACAGACAGACAGACAGACAGACAGACAGACAGCCTCACCAGGCATCTCAGGCAGTGCCCATCCCTCGACCTTCTTACTGGGAACACTGATTACCTTCTCTGCAGCCCAGTCACCTTTCTGAAGACACAAAAAGACAGACTGAGAGTCTGCAGGCATGCTGGCAACTTTGTACTTAGAGCTAAATGCTAATATCAGGATGCTAACATGCTCTCATTCACAATGTTGTTTGCCTGATTGAGGGGTGGAAGCTACCCTTAGTATCAAAGGTTAGGATCAGGGGTGTAAATATAGGCAGTACAGTGAGTGAGGTTGCCCTAGGGCCTGTTGGGTGGGGGGGCCGTAGAGAGGGTGGGCCCTCCAAAAATGTATCAGGCAGAGGACGGGCCTTTGACAGAGATTCAGATTGACACCTCGTAAAAGTTCAACGGAGAATTTCAATCAAAAATGGTGCCCTCGAAAAGGCAAACACATCTCTGTCATGGTTTCAATTTTTAGGGGTAAAAAAGTCAGTAACTATCTATAAGAAAATTAGATGCTTACGCTACACAAACTAAAAAAATAAACAAAAAATAAACAAGAAAAAACTATTCAAGAAATAAATGATTTCCTTTATTGTATTTTTGTCATACACAGATATGTTATGTAATATGTATATTGATGTTGTCAAATGCCAAGTGTCCATTTGATCATGTCATGAGATGATACGATATGTGGTTGCTAGTTTAGGCTCTGTCAAGAATCTGAGGTCAGGTAGGGTGTCATTCTGACAAAATATTTTCTATATAAAATAAAATCTCTGGGCTGCACCTGTAGTGAGGTAGCTCACTAGCCTCCCGACTGAAAACAGTCTAAAGTTCACTGTAGTTTAGTTTTATAGCTCTTTATCACAAGTGGCCATCATTAACCAACCAGAACACTGAACAGATTCACATTCTAAATTCAACAGACAATCCAGTATGAACCCTGTACTGACTGGAATCCTACTTGGATCTAGGACCTGTGGTACTGACTGGTGTCCCTCTGGGTTCAAGAACCCTGGATATGAACTATACGGATCTAGAACCCTGTGATATTAAAATCATGTGGTGCTGACTTTTGTTTTGTAGAATCTGAAGACTGTTCCCCGCAGAGCGCATCCCACGTAGCCCTCCGTGGCATCAGGGTCATGGAGGAATCGGACCTCGAGGGGAATAGCACCCTCCTCACCCAGATCGAGTGTCTGCAGCTTCTTGTGGGTGGTCCAGTCCCAAACATGGATGGAGCTGCCGTAGAGTCCTGGGACACAAACAACAGTTAACTCAGTACTGTCTCAATCCTCACACAAAGTTCTCAACCCTTGTCTTAGTTAATGGATACCCTGCTGTCTTACTGGAATTTGAATATAAAACCCTGTGTTACAGACACAGGTCTTACTGGGATCAAGAACTCTGTGATACCAACTGGAATCTTACTTTTGTTAAAGTTATTGTGCTCTTAGTTTTGCACTTTTAAATACATGGCTCAGGTGGTGTTTTCATCTTCTATGTTTTCTTTATCGTATGTAGTAAATTGTAAAGCACTTCGTCACCTATGCCTGTGAAAACACTGTACAAATAAATTCTACTTACTTACTGGCAGCTGAACCTAGCACTCTGTGGGACTTGCTGGATATGGGGTGCCATTTGTAAAGTGTCTCACGCTGAAAATAACATCAACATTTTGCCACATTTAGCTTCAAGCAATGTTTAAAAAAGTGTTGTGAATTTTTTAACGTCACCTTTTACCACATTTACAGCAATATTTGTTAACTTAGAAATATATTAAATAGTTAAATCTAAATATTAAATGTGGCACCTAAATGTTAAATGTTAAATCTAAATATTAAATCTAAATCTAAATGCTAAATCTAAATATTAAATCTAAATCTAAATACTAAATCTAAATCTAAATATAAATCTAAATGTTAAATCTAAATATTAAATATAAATCTAAATATAAATGTTAAATCTAAATGCTAAATATAAATATAAATCTAAATGTTAAATCTAAATGTTAAATATAAATATAAATCTAAATGCTAAATATAAATCTAAATGTTAAATGTTAAATCTAAATATTAAATATAAATCTAAATATAAATGTTAAATCTAAATG